TTTTGATGTAGATATTTATAAATATTGTCAAAGAACGAGCCAAAACATATGCACAATTGCACAATCTCTGACAATCAGTACAAGGATGCTGTCAAGACCTGTTGTCATTTTCGGTTTTATCTGTTTCAAAGCAGCCAACACTTCATTTTCTTCGAAGTAATGAATGTTCAAGACTTGTGAATATGGATGGTCATCGCTCAATTCGGTTGGAGAGCTGGTGATATATGATTTTGAGAAAAAAATCAACAAAGCTATTAAGAATATCTAAAGGAGTATCTAAAGATTTTCCTTCGTAGGACATTCTGTCCGAAATGCTGGTAAATCCTTTTTTGTTATTTATATATGCCCAGAATTTATATGGATTGTCTTTGATGTCATGTTCAGCGGATTTCACAAATTTTTTGAACGCGTTGTCCACGTCCGATTTAATCTTTGCCCTCAGGCGCACACATTGTTCCCGGGCAGCATCATCACCGCTACTTTGAATAGACGTACAATACTTAGCCTTTAGACGAATTTGCTGAATAATTTCACGGTCGAACCACGGCGGCGGATATTTACGCTTGAAGTTACCAGTTCGTAAGGGTTCACATTGATTCAGTATGTTAAAGATTTTTCCGTAAAAATAAGTACAAGCATCATTTGATCTATCGAAAACTTCAGGAGTGGTCTAGTCAATAATTGCGATTAGTTCGTACATACGCGGAAAGTTTGCTTTTCTAAAGTTGTACTTATTATTATAAGAGGTGGCGAAGTTTCTTTTCAAATTACGTATAATATTCGATTTGCAGTATATATTCAAGGCAGGGTGATGTTTGTCTTCAGTTACTAGTGGATCCGACACAATACTGCCTCAGAACAGTATAAGGTCGAGTATTCACCTATAATTTCTGTAAATGAAGTTATACTGTGATAAATTGCTAGATTCCAGAAAATTATTCAATAAATTATTTATCGTGTTTAGTTGGTCACTCTGTAAAAACGAAGCATACGAAGGGATATTGAAGTCACCCGTGATGAAAATACTGTTTTTATAGGCAACTTGGATGTTGGTAAGAGTTTCGAAAAGAATAATGTACACATTGTTTGACAAAGAGGGAGAGACATAAATATTGATCATAAATAACGAATTCGAATCAGAAATTATTTTCACCATAACAATGTCTACATAGACTAATACTTGAGGAATAAGTAGTGTTAAATCAACCTGTGAGGAGACGAACGAATCAGCAACTGAAATAAGAGCTTCTTCACCTTTTGAGCAATTGCATTCAGATAATTTTCTATCAGAGCGGTATACCTCATAGCAGTTAGGGAATAACTCTTCATTTCTGACCGAGTGGTCAGTGTAATCGCGGGAATCCAGTTATCGAAATTGAGTTGAAAAATTGAGATATTTTAGATCACAGACCACGGGTTTTTTGATAATAAAATGTTGTGTAGTTTTCATTTCATAGGATATAATCATGGGAGGACGCAGACTGATCTAAAGCCTCATGAGATGAGGGTGATTGCTACAGACAGCCAAGTATATTATTTTTGAATTTTTCTATTGCATTTTGATAAGCAGTACATTTTTCCTTTTCCTAAATCGCATGATCTGTTGAAAGATTTTTTCTCGCCAGTTAAACACAGTTGGTGCATTATCACCACATATATGGTGAAATAACCCAGATTTATCGTTGAGTCTGCCTTATACAACTCATGCTCTTATTTGAACCAATACTGAAACTTGAACCACACTTGTGATTGTGTCACAAAGATTTGGCAAATTGTTTATCTAATATGCGTTTTAGTGATTCATAAACAAAATTATTGTTTCACTTTGACGTTCATGAAATCACTCTCTTTCAAGTCGTTGACCTTTGTGTGAGTTTATTCTAATTATTGATAGTAATTTACGTGACTAGTCAGGAAAAGACTGTTTTTTTTTGGACGAATAGACAAAATTCTAGGACAGATGCCGAAAAAACTGTGTACGCAACACGCCCTAAACAGTTTTTTGAACTCGCAAACTTCTAGGACTAGTCTACGGCCCGTAGGCGTACATTATTTTCTGGTCAACCGTGTACAATTACAAATCGATGAGACACTTGTTTGAAATGTTTGGTATATTTAAATGCCTTTTGCTGAAGTATCAATAAGAATGTAAAGTTTGATTGTTTTAATGTGATAATTTTTGAATGACATTGGCAATTTTGATATTGTTTGTTAGTGAATTATGTTCATATCTTTCAGCGACATTGGTAGACTTACAGCCACTGTGTCTCATCAAATTTGAGATGTTTCATTATCAGCGAATCAAACATTTTCCTTTATTGAAATTTACGAATAATCTCTTATGTGGAGAATGTGATGGCCGAGAAGATGAGTTTCGCCTATACTTGCCCACTATTCTTTCCACTTACAACAAAATTTTCCTCAATAAGTGTTTTGGAATCTGGTATTTTCACAAGCAACATGTTTCCTTGTCGTTCATTAGATCAATTGACATTTTTGTTAGTTCTTCCTATCTACACGCACCGGCTAACCCAGAGGTTCTCAAACTTATTTTGTCTACCGCCCACTTCGAGAATTAATTATTTTCAACTCCCCACCCCAGATGTTTTTACTGTACTACATCTTACGAATCACAATCGCAGTCATTATTTTTATAATTAAATTATGTGTGTCATGTGACAAGACTTTCTGATGAGGGTAATGTAAAACACCATTTGTTATATTAGGAAAACTTTTATCGATGTTTTTAAAACAAACATTTCAATTTGAATTTTAAAACTTATCCAATGTGAAGGATACATTTGATGATGTTTAACAAGTTTGTTAATATCACGCTCGAATTTACTCAAAAATAGCCGTAAGTCACCGCGTTCGGTAATCTGCAACCGATTTTTTTTTTTAGTTAGCAACGTTGCCACATCACTAATTCCACTTTCACACAAATACGATGGGAATGCTATCAAAAATCGTTAAAAGATGGACCACAATCCAGGGTACAATTGCGGAATTGGCTTTTGTAGCCAATTTATTTTGAATTTTATTTTTATTTCCTCGTTCGTTATCAGTTCTACGAGTTCTTCTTCCAGCTGGGGTGATCCTGTTATGTTAACATTTGAAAAAGGATCCAACACCCAGTCCGGTATTTCCAATTTTAAAATATCCTGGAATCGTTCTGCGAAATCACTGTGGAGGTTTTCCAAATGTTGGCAGTAAACAAGTAAGTCGTCGTTGTTGAAGTTTACTGCTGACAAATTAGGGAAATTGCGAAACTCACGTCTGCCGATATTATTCTTGTATAAGAACAATTTGACTACAAAAGCAGCAATGACATTTTTTGTTAAAATTAAATTCAAGTCATCACCTGGAAGTTGGAGATTGACATCATGTCAAGTACGCAATATTATTCTTTGAAGTGATGAGGTTGTCGTGCAATTTTTTGTCTTTGTTATCCAAGAACTCTATTACAGAGTCAAATAGATTGTGAAATCGAGTCAGACAGTTACCTCATGATAACCAACGAACTTCTGTGTGAAATAGCAATAGTTGTGTGAAATCGCTGGTTTATAGAGCACAGTAGTTATTACTTCTTTTATTGCCGGTAAAATTAAATCCTCTCCAATAGTGTGAGGTTTAACTGTTTGAGCAATTAGCAAGGAGATGTTGCAGGAAGCTCGGAAACCGTCGTCGTCTTGCTCTGAAGCCGATGAAAAAAGTTTGATACAGTTGGCTGACCTGAGTGTTTCTTATCCAGTTCTTGAAAATAAGTCACATTTTTGTCTTCCATATCTAAATGCATTTTATTCAAATGTTTTTGTAGCCTTGAGGCTTTCATCGCTTCATTTGAAAATGTTTTTTGACAAAGAAGGCACACAGGCGAAGATGGATTTGTGAGATTTTCAATAAATCCATATTTTATATATTCCGCGCTATACTGCCGTTTCTTCTTTTTGAAGTTACCTCTCTGACAAACCATCACCAATTTAAATTGTTAATACAAATCAGAAAAGAGAATCACCCAATATAAGTTAGCCTTTTTGGTGACAACATTACTGATATATTACCATACGTCTCATTAGTGGATTAAACATCAGTTCAACAGACTTTGTATTTATATGGTTTCTGGGTTTTTAATTTTCCCATGCTAGCCCTCCTTATCTTGGAGATATTGTATAATATATTTTGAGTAATTGACCTCAATGATAATTGATACTTTTTCCTCACCAAAACAAAAAGCTCTCTTGTCATGGGTTTCGCTAAGCAAGTCAGCATCATCAGGAGATTAGTGAGACTTGACCATTTCACGCCAGAAGTTTCAAATTTTATGATAAAAACGCTTCAGTTTGTACATTTGCAATGGAATCGAAAAATAGATTGTACACAGGAAAGCTAAACAGGATTCCTTTATATGATCCAACTTTTTGAGATATTGCCAAGAAATAATAATGAAAACTAGAGAGAAGTGACGATATCATTCAGAATATGATTCCAAGTATAGGGAATTTTGTGAGAAAAACAATTTGTTTATTCGTTGAAAACACTGAAATGGGTAAATAAAGGTTTGCAGAATGGGATAGTGTTATTGTATGACATTAGGTAAGTTCCCAAAATAGTTGAATCTTTGACTTTGAAATGGTCATACTACCGAAAGCAGAGATTTGTGGTTAGTGGACAAACATTATAAGTCCAAATGAACAAAAATTTACCCTAGATAGACTCGCTTATCATGTCTGTATTTGCGACTGCTCATATCTCCGTGATCTCTTATAATTTTTCTTATGTGTTCTGGGGGCATGTCTTCTTTCTGTGCTTCGACAAATCCCAACTTTCTTTTGTCCGCAAAAATTAGCTTCTTTAGAAATTGCTGCAAATACCTAATTGTCGCACTACATATGCGAAAGAACTCGGTTTAAAAATAAAGATTATGACTACCCCCGCCTTTATTTCTTACACCTTTCACTCTCTTACCAAGCCCATCCGCGGACAACAACAGTGCTATTAGTGTTTCTTGCAGAAGAACTGCTTCGATTCATCGACTACACGTCAGCGAAAGAGATTTCGTGAGGTAGTGCCGCGATAATTAATATTCATTCCGCATATTATTTACTTCGCCCCGTGTGTAATATTTCGTTATTCATTCTACAAGAAGGGTTTTTTCGGTGTTTCGCAGAACACGAGTCAGAACAGTTCGTTGATGCTTGATATGTGAGCATTTTGTATTCTTATTGTAGTGACATTAATGATTGGATAGGATAGACGATCATGATGAATTCGGTGAGTACAATATTTCAAAAAAAAGGAAGTGAACTAGGGTTATACCCACGAGATGATTTGAAAAAAAATACCTTAGGCAATGTGGTTTTTGCTTCAGTCTTTTGGGGAAGAGCATTGGTATTATGAATCAGCGCAAAAGGTACACACAATGATTTTTTTTCTGAATATTGCGGATATACACCTACGACGGACTTCCAATTCATGTCCAAAGAATATCTTATGTGCGAACGAAGAACTTTCTGTGTATATCAATCTGTGATTCCATCAGAAATCCTTGAATGATATTCATCAGGTAATTTTCATGCATATTCATGACATGTCCTTAATGGATATCGCAAAGATGCATAGATATTTTTCAAAAAAAGCTCATGGGAAGTGGTTTCTTCATTTATCATGAAGTTCTCTCATCTTTAGAAGATGTTTGGATATACATTAATGGATTATGAAAAGCTTTTTACAGAAAACATTATCACTTATATTTTACCTTATACATATTTAAGTGTTATTGAAAAAATATGAGACATTAAAAAATTCCATTATTTTCCAATACAGGAGTATGCCAATAAATTATAAAAATTCTAACAAAAAAAGGAAAGTGAAATAAAAATGAGGAGTGGTGCCTGTGCGAAAGTAGTGATTCACATTGGATTTGAATCGCTGGAGATTAAATCCATTAGAAAAGACTTCTCAGGAAGTTTATTGCATATAAACGCAGTTCTCCAAATGAAAGAGATCTTAAAGAGTGAAGTTCGAGGTGTATTGAGTTGAACCTCAAAACAATGAGCAGCCACAATACGTCGCGTATTTCTGATATGTAACGCTCTTGGTGGAATCAAATGTGCCAAGTCACTTGAACACTTTCCGTGAAAGTATCTGTGGAAGAGAGAAAAATCTCCAACCTTCCTTCGATGTTCCAGACTATCAAGTGTTCGTGTCTCCAATCAGGCGGATGGCTCTTTTCTGGATGACATCCAGCAGCTTTAGGATATGTTTGGGGGCAGAGAGCTTCATACATGAGAACAATACTCCAAAAGGGTCTGATCTCAGCTTCATAAAGCATCAAAAGTTGCTGAGGTGTGTACAGTTTTCTGGTTCGGACAGTGTTCCAAGCTTTTTAGAAACACCCTTTCCAATTCCCCCAACAAACTTATCAAATCACAAAGCGGAATTATTTATCCTGACATTATTATATCCGGTTCAGAGACATTTATCTTTTTCATGTATTGGAGCTTACTTTCATGTATTCAGCTTATTTGGTAGAATATTTAAATGCCATATTGTCGACTTTTTTATTTCCAGACTAGAAATAATGTAAAGCTTGAAAAATATACTAAAAATAAAAAACAAACTTCAGATGAACTATTGGAATAGAATGAATAATTTTTCCTAGTCTAGTGAGGAATATCTTTTGCACGTCCNCACACGATTTTTCTGATGATGATTTATTCATATATACAAATGTCTATTTCAAGGATTAATCGCAACACTTCGGAATTCCAAGTATTTGGGATTTTGGCTTTGTGGTATGTGTAAAATCCCGTTGTGTATATATCTATCTACTCATCTTCATTAGTTCAAATGTCATACTATGTCACCGTTTTCATTCACCTTCATTGATGATGTCATTTGTGTTGTCGCAAAGGACAAACCATAAAAAATACTTGAAAAAGTAAACAGTTATAACCCCAAATTACAATTTACTACAGAACTTCAAGATAACAATACTATCCCTTTTTTAACTTACATACATACTTTACATACAAAAATAATTCGCAGAGATTCATTAATAACAGATTGGTATATTGAACCAATAAATTCGGGGAGATATATTGCTTATAATTCGTTTAAGAAGACAGAATGAAATATTCTTCAAATATAATAAAAGTTTTTCGCAATGAAAATAATATCAGTATTTCTAAAAAGAATATTTAAGTTAATGGAGAAATTGAATCACGGTTAACAGATTCTACAGCTGTTTCAAAAAAATCAAACGTTGTTTACAATATACCATGCAATAATTGTGATTTAAATTATATTGCAACAACTTCCAGAACACTTTCAAGCAAAATAACTTCACACAAAAGTAATATAAAATTAAACAAAAATTAATGTGCACCAACTCAACATTCTATGGAAACATGACACAAAATTCAGAAAAAAATATGTCCAAAAGACTTTTTCAAGAGTGATCTTCATTAACAAAAATCCTAATAACGAGTGATTCGAGTAATAATAACGTAATAATGAACGAAAAAGCAGACATTGATAATCTAGGTATAATTTACAATTATTTACTAGATATAGATACATCTCAATAATATTCTCAATTTGAAATAGTTACACGTTGTATAGAATCATTAAATGAGCATATATCAAATATAAATCTTTTCAATGATAATGTCACTATTTTCATTACAGTAAGCTTTGAACATTACATAACTAATATCATATATCTGAAAATTATAACATTATTACTGTCAATTCTCTAATTTTGTAATACATTTTTTCATTTAATAATTCATTTTCAATTGTGAAACTCAGATTACTTGTGAGTATTGTCCATTTTTTTAAGTTCATTTCTATTGAATTTCATTTTAGAGTCCTAACGAAGTCTCTATTCAAAGACGAAAGCTTGGCGATTTTGAGTATTTATTTTGTAACGTTTTCAAAGGTTTCAGAGTGTGATGCCGGACCTGTCGGAAATTAATTATTCTTTCTAAATGAAAAGTCTTTTGAACAAAATCACGAATTCAATAATACCAGAATTATTACTCGAATCACTTGTATATAAAGGGTTTGTCTTTTATAAATATATTCAACAGCATTCTTCAGTTTCGTCATTATTCCAAAGTTGAATGAATATGATTGAGTATATGAAGGTTTTCGGTGTTCGTGTTTTACAATGATTTTTGATGCATCTGCTCCTTGAAATAACCAGTTCTCAAAGATCAAGGTCCCAACGTAAATTATACGAGTAATGTATTGGGAAATTTTTAGTTGTTTTTTTTAGTGAAGGGATTTCCGTATTTTAAATACACGCCTTGTCATTGGCTTGTTATAGAAGATTAACAGAATGATTCAGGCAGTTATAATGATCTTGAAGTATTATCAAAATAATAGAAGACCTTTTGGCTTTCTACTACTCCACCTTGATACAAAAAAAGATGAGGAAATCTTCCAAAGAAAGGAAGGAAGTAATCAATTTGAAAATAAGTAACTCTTACACATGGATGTGTAGATCATGCAAAGAAGTAACTTTCAGACACAAACTGAAAGTCCTCCTGAAACAGCTACTTTCATATAAACATTGATCTACACGAAAGAAAAAAATTATTTCAAAACGAATACTTCTATATGAACACTGAATTATACAGAAGATACTTTTCTCTACTCAGTTTGAATTTCAAACATTTGTTGTGGAATAAAATCAGATATCACTGACATGGAACACTGTCATCCTCACTGGTATACATCGATGTTTCGCCGTAAGACACTTGCCCTAAGGCTCTTTAGTACCAAATTGGATAACAAACGTTTCGAGCGTCTTAAGGTGATGATTGGGATGGCATTTCACCTTATAATAATTCATTTTCCCAACTAATCATCTTTTCATTTCATTATTTATTGTTCATTATTCTCTTCATAGATTTGTTTTGTTATTTCTTCATTTAATTCCAAGTTTTCAACTCTAGTTTAGTATTTTCAAGCGAGGAAAATTTAAATTTCTAAAATTCAATAAAAACAGTGATTATAATTATGAAAACGATAACTATTAGTTCCTGCTTTGATCTACTGGAAAAGGGGATAGAAACTATTTATGTAACCGTTTCATTGGAACTGAAGGCAGTTGCAAATATTTTCAATTCTCATTTTGAGCAGATCAGTCACATTTTAGAATATTAGTTGATAAATAATTATTTCTAATATAGACATTTAACAGCAAAAACATTTTACTTCAATAGTAGTAAGGTAGTAGGAAGTTTAAAAAATCTGTTTAAAATCTGCTTTTCCGTTAACCAGCTGTCGCACCCCTACGAACGACAACCCTCAGAAGTCGAAACTTGTGTGAGCTAAGGATTAACGAGGTCTTACCTTTTAACGTGTGATTCTTAACACGGGTTGGACGATAGCAAGTGAAGATCGATCGTTCAGACTAGGGCCTGAACCACCGACCAACACGGCAGTCAATTCGAGTGAGTGAACAAAGCACCCACGACGAACCGCTTGGCTACCGACCGACATATAGAAAGTGAATAACTTAAGGAAAAACAATTGAAAAATATCAATAACAACTATATAGAAAAATATGTAGGTTATCTTGAGTTTGAATGACTATATACTTAATTTTTCATAACGTTTTGAATATTTGACACTCTTGGAAGCATCTCTGTTTCTCTACAATAATAATTCGATATACTTTCTCACATTTTCATAACATAAGTTATTCATACTACTGTAAAACTGAATGTATGTATTCAGTTTGATCCCAATCATAGGAATTGAATTCATAAAAATTTATTATATTGTGAAAAAGTGATTTTTATATAATTCAATATGCGTGGGGGATTCTGGTTGTTTGAGATAGACTTGAAATATTTATCTTGTTCGATTGATGACCTATTCATTTTGCGAAAATTCATTCAAATCATTTGAAAATTGTCTAATAAACCAAAACTGGTCGTAACAAAAAATAAACTCAGTAGAAATTAGACAAAAGTTATTTTCTTTATTCTGTATAGGAAATATTTATGATGCATCATATTTTATTGAAGAGTTTTCATTGATACGTACGAAATCATACATGGAACATAAATTATTTTAGAAAGAAATCACAAAATTTCGAATTTAAACATGGATTTTAACAGAATCCTTTGATGGGATTCACCAAAATTTAACACTACTCCGGGTTCATACTCGGAGTCTGAATTGAACAAATATTTCGGAAATGAAATCGAAATTTAACGAAATTGTTATTGAAAAATTGAATTGATAAAATTATA